AGCTAGGCTGACCAACCACACTGTTATGTAATGTTGTATACTAAGTTGTTTGCATGATGCTGTTTTGTCCATGTGTGGTACTTCATTGTATAATTCAGTAGTTGAGATTGATTTTTATATTAATAGTAGCTTGGAAACTAAATAACTTGAAACTTAATTATTGTTTGAATAAAAAGAAAATTGTAGGAGGAAAATAAAATATTCTTGAGAATGTAGGCAGAACTAACTCTGAACCTGTTCCACAGGTACTTCTGCAGAATTTGATAATTTGAGTGAATGGTATTGTACATGACTCCATATTTATATCACTTTCACACACTGTTTTGTAAGCTTCATTCATACATTGTTATTCTTGGAATCCAGGTCAATGAAAGTATCCTGGGAACCTGCAGTGACCTCATGGCAGCAGTAAGACAGTTAGTCGTAAGAGCGTCAGACTTGCAGAGAGAGATTGTTGCTGCAGGGAAAGGGGGAGCCTCACCTCGAGAGTTCTACAAACGCAACCACCGCTGGACGGAGGGCCTTCTCTCGGGTGCTAAGGCTGTCGCAATTGCCTGCCAGGCTCTTATGTATGTGTTCCCAGAAGTTTGTGTCTTACATGTGACTTAGAATATAATTCAGTGTATATGATTATGTTTGAGGGTTGTGGTTTTTATATTGACGTGGAAATTAGAATTAGGATGGTCAAGAAAGAAAATATTGATGTTACTAAAAGAACTAGCATATTTCACAGATGTTTGATAATCTGTCACTATACTATAATGAATGTCCTTTCTGTAAAGGATAGAGCATTTCAATGGTCAATTTGTAAAGGAAGGATGGAGACATACTTTATGGGTAGATGAATGAAAAGAACTTTGTTGCAGGTCTGCTGCTGATCAAGTTGTAAGTGGAAAAGGAAAGTTTGAGGAAGTCATTGTTGCATCGCGTGAGATTGCTGCTTCCTCTATGCAGCTGGTCATGGCTTCAAGGGTGAAGGCTGACAAGTCTAGCCAGAAAATGGCTGACCTCAGTACTACTGCCAAGCAAATTTCGACTTTGACAGGAACAGTGGTGGCAACTGCTGAAAATTGTAGAGACAAGATTTCTACTGCTTGTAAGTCTAATTTTAAATGAAAGTAAAGAGAGAGGAAAGGAGTTGCAAAGAAGGGATGATGTTGGAGTAGGAAGGATAAAGAGACAAAAAAATTAACAGAAAGAAAGGGAGAAAAGAAGCTTTATATTTGTGGTGCTTGCAAAATATGGCAACATATCTATTTTGTATAATATTTATTTCATTTAATAATCTTTATTAATGTAAGAGGAATGAAGACATGATTATTGAGGTATAAATATTTGATTTTACAGCAACCCTAGATTTTTCGAAATTGAGTTTGCACTCGGCGAAGCGCTTAGAAATGGAGACCCTAGTGAAGATGCTGGAGACAGAGAAGCAGCTGGAGAATGAGCGGACAAAGCTAGCAGAACTACGCAGACACCATTATAAGCTTGCTGGAGAGCTTGAAGGATGGGATGAAGAGGTGAGTAAAACCTTTGTGTTTTGATTTGTTACTGCTGTCATTGACCATTACAGATATTGTAGTAAGCCATATAATGGTCTGAACTTTGTACTTTTATTCCTACAGGATATCCCAAAATAGGAGGCTGAAGTGATGACTTACTTCTAGGTAGAGCTATGATGTAAAGAGACTATTTTGTATACTGAATATTGGCAATTGAATAATGTGATGTTGATAAAATCTTTAAAACCGGGGGTTTATACTACTAGTTTCACATACATCCAGACTAAGTACCATGTTGTGACATTGTTACTGGACACTACACACATTGTTTGGATTGGGAAATTAGATGCACTGCGACTGGGATATGAAAGTCTAAAATGAAGGAATGTGTATGAAAGAAACTTTCTGCTTATATGTAAGTGGAAAATTGATATAAATCTATATATATTTTTATTTCTTTTTAAAAGATATACATATATTTATGCAATTACTGATGCATAAGGTTTTATTAATTTTCATAAGAGGTATTGTTTTATTCATTAATTTTTTTTAATTTTTTTTTGGTAAAAGGGGTATTACTGATGTTGAATATAGTGTTGGCTTTGATAATGGAAATAAGTATGATTATTTTAGATGCACTATTATAAATGATGTATTTTAGTGTCTTGTTCTCTTATTAGTTATTGTAATAATAAGGGTAAAGAAAATGTGAAAGATATGAAACGAATAATGGACTTGCAGTAATGATAATGATATAATAAAAAAATATATATATAATAATAATTATAATAAACTTTATGCAGATGTTAATTCTAATAATATCAGTGATGGTGGGGATAAATGATATGCAGATGATGATGGTATCATCATAATCTTTATTGTTATTGTTGTTGTTGTTGTTGTTATTATTATTATTATTATTATTATTATTATTATTATTATTATTATTATTATTATTATTATTATTATTATTATTATTATTATTATTATTGCTACTA